TTCAGGTGCTACAGTCAATAAATATGCAGGCTCATTTGAACACAGCTCACAGTGCTGGTACTTTCTATGTATTTTCCTAATATGGCATATGCTGTATGAATGGTCGTGCAACAATAATAAATAAATCAATAAATAAATAAAATAGAACGGGCTATAATGAGACTTATAAGGTTCAAATTGGGTCTTTTTATCAGTGTTGGTTTCTGCTGTGTCTCTAAGTTGTTAAGATTTGCTATTTCACACAGATAAAAGTTGCTTTAGTTAAAATTCTATATTCACAGTTTTTAAACTCGCAAAGGGTAAATTGTTTAGGTAACTAGTTTTCTTTATCACTAATAAGCACTAAAGGCGAGATTACCTAACTACCTAACAGCGCGGGGATGGGGGGGGGGGGGATGTTAACACATATTGTTCCACAGGCTAGGTTACAATCCAAACCATTTCCTACAATATTTTCTTTTTAATAGTATGTGCTTACTGTTGGAAATTAAGACACATATGCATATCTCAGGGGGCGTTTTCCCATTGAAAATATCAGTTCAAACCCAGGTGCCATTTGCATGTAATATGATAGGTGTTTATCTCTCATCTGAGCAGTTACATGTAGCATAATTATTTTATGTTCCTTTACACATTTATCTCATATTGGATTAAGATGCATTAGTCGGTGCATATATATATGTACATGCAGTTTACATCCATGCATTAGCTAGTGGGTACAAATGCAGGTTAGCTAAGGGATACAAATACAAATCCACATGTGTGTAGGAGTTACAAGATTCATAGTATTAAGATTAGATAAAATTCTCCAGCATTTTAGGGTATTAGATATAGGTTAGGTTTCCACTGACTGAGCATATTAATTTTTATGCTCTCTATCATATATCCATTTTCTACAGCCTTAAAAATATTTTGAAGTCTATTATTTAAATAACCTATTCCATAACATATTTTTGCGGGGTGGGGGGGGGGGGGAGCTTTAGGTGTGAAAAGATCATGCATTTTTGATAGAACATCAGCTGGGAAGGGGTTTAGAATAAAGGATTTAGTCATGTGTGCCTTCAGTGTCTGCTGCAGTCCAACTACATTTACAAATGAGCTGTAAATACAAATACAGTCCTCCATTGTGTGTCTTGGTTTGAAAGGTACTTATTATATACAAGATTTAATCAATTTTAAATGGTGCTTTGAAGAGTTCGCTTTCAAAATAAGTGGTACATGTATATAAAACATCATTCCCTCAAAATGGCAAAATACATAATTTACCAAATATCAAAAAACGTGTTCAGCAGTTTACAAATTGGGCACGTGAACACTTTTAAAATTATTGTCAACAATACAGGAATAGCATAATCATGCTGAAAGGGAAGGGGGGAGGTTAAAGAGTAAAGGTGCTCATTCATCTTGTTTCTAATCTCTGCATGAAAGTATTTTATCACCTAAAAAATAATTAAATAAGAAATAAAATTCAAATTTATAAACAAATAAATAAAAAGGGGGGATCTAAATAAAACGTATTTTCTACATAATTTTCTTACATTAGTCCAGGTAGTATTCTCTCTTGCCAGCTGGCTATTAATAATGGAATCTGAGACCCTAAGCAATATACTAGTAACTTGAAAGATATAAATTCAGGAGGGGGGGGGGGCGTTAGGCCCAATTAATTTGAAGGGAGACCAGAATTATTTTAATGCAGGATAGTTCTACAGTGGGTTGGCAATGAGAGAGAGTGATGTTCATGATTGATGGGTTGCTGAGGGTTTTGAGTAAGCTAGGAGTCCATGGTGGGTGGTTAAATTGAAGTTGCCTACCCCCACCAGGTGGCGGTGGGCACCTACGGTGCCCATGTGGCGAAATCGTCACCTTCAATTTAACCATTGAACTGTTGATTTTGTTGACTTTTTGTGGTTGATGTTGATATATGTGATGGTTGATGTTGATATATGTGACGTTGACTTTGCAAATTATATCTTATACAATTTAAAGCTAAAGCCAATTAATATAATTATAAAAGATAATTTGTGTTGAAATGTGTCCGTAGCACGAATGAGGTCAACCCAGCGTGCTACTTTTCCCGTCAGGGAGGGCACAACTTATGTTGATGTTGGGGGTATGCCATTTTGCCGGCTGCCCCACTGTTGTGTAGACCACTGTGGACAATACCTGCCAACTCGAATAAAACATTAAACTTAAATACGTAGCATTTGTTTATTATATACATAGGTCTTTGATAATACCGCATATTTGAGTTCATCTCACAATATGCGCCGTTATCAAAGCTCTATCCTTTTATTATATGTCATCATTCACCTCCTTTTTGTGGAAAAAACTAATAAATGTGATAAGCCGGAATTTATTTATCCATCCATACAGTGTCGGTACTTAGTCACTAGGTTTACGGGTTATCTCCCCTTTTCTATGCATCAATGAAAGTGAAAGGTGGGTGATGAAAGTATCTGATTTATGTTTTTGTTTTATGAAATACCCTCCCTCCTCAACCCTTGAGCTAGGTGTTAAGTATATACCCTTTCTCCTTTTGTTTGTTTAAATAACGTTTTTCATTGTTTTACATCATTTGGTTATACCAAATTTATTAGAGTTGTGCAAATGTTATTGAGAATCTTTTTCTGCTGTGGGTTTTTGTTTTTGTCTTTTCAGATATTAGAGATTTCGTTGAAGGAGACTAACGATGCTGATCTGAATTGCCTGCTATTTCCGTATTCTGGGACTTTTGGAATTTCCGTATTCTGGGACCTTTGGAATGATCACTGGCCGAATACCATGCATGACAAGGGTCAATTTGGCGAATTATCCATTCGAGGAGTTCGGGGAAAGACAGTAAACTATACTTCACAGTGGTCGTGTTTGCGAAATCGTCACCTTCAATTTAACCATTGAACTGTTGATTTTGTTGACTTTTTGTGGTTGATGTTGATATATGTGATGGTTGATGTTGATATATGTGACGTTGACTTTGAAAATTAATTCTTATACAATTTAAAGCTAAAGCCAATTAATATAATTATAAAAGATAATTTGTGTTGAAATGTGTCCGTAGCACGAATGAGGTCAACCCAGCGTGCTACTTTTCCCGTCAGGGAGGGCACAGCTTATGTTGATGTTGGGGGTATGCCATTTTGCCGGCTGCCCCACTGTTGTGTAGACCACTGTGGACAATACCTGCCAACTCGAATAAAACATTAAACTTAAATACGTAGCATTTGTTTATTATATACATAGGTCTTTGATAATTGTTTGTTATTTTAAACCCCCACCCTGTAGCCACCCTTTACTGTTGAAAATTAAGAAAGTCTTTCAGAAATGTCCGGAAAAACATTTTTCCTATCTTCTGCCAATTTTATTTATAAAACCAGTTCCACCCTATAACCTTTGAATAAGTTGTCCCAAAACCACGTGTTTTGAATCTAAATCACAATAACAATAGTAGGGGTGTTAGAGCAATCGCAACTTCTCGGGCCTTTCCGACAAGCGGAAAAACGACCTCGAATGTATATGGTAGACGCCATGACAACCCTCCCTTTTACGATCTTAGAAATAAATGCACGGAGACCTTTTATCTGTGGAATATGCAGTTTAACTTTATTCAACTTAATGATATTACCTAAAATATACTATAGAATGGACTTCTAACTCCGTCTATCCTATATTTGAATAAACAGGAAATGTATAAATTTTTAACATCTGGTGATCTTAATAAATTTGAGGTTGTTTTTCCGACCTCTGACGCAAAGGCCCGAGATGATGCGATTGGGTGTTAGAGGTGTGATTAGGAATAAATGGTTAGACACGCGCCGTGCCCTCCTTGTCACGATCGGGCAAACTGTGTGTAAATAATGTCCTAAGAAATAGTATAAAACATCAAAACATATCGGTGCCTTTGGACTCTTAAAGTATCTAAAAGAAAATAAAGGAAATGAATAACTATTTTATTGACTGAATTTGTAAAACTCATACACTACATTTCCAATGCACACTACCTAAATATCCTTTCACCTTTTTAACTTTTCTGGTTTTAGAGCCTCTTGAGAAGTTTTTGGGAAAAAAATCCGATTTATTTCAATGCGAATGTTTGATTCACTTTGTAGTCCTACCCATCCCCATCCCATCCTGGGGGCATGATTTGAACAATTTAGAATCTACTTTTGAAAGCTTTCAGAGAAGTTTCTTTTCAATATGGATGGACATTTGCTATTCGTTTTAATATTTAGAATCCCAATTTCTCTAGGGATAAGTTATACCAAACTTTTATGGGAACCCGGTTGTTTTTTTTTTTATTGTTGAGAATTTGGAAATGTGAAAAGTTCATAGAAGGAGAACCAGACGGACAAGGACCAAACAAATAAACCCCTTTGTAATAGCGCAATACTATAGACAATTCGTCACATTTTCATATAAAGAAAAGATTTCAACAAGAAGTGGTATAATGTGCATAACTATTTAAAAAAAAAAAATTAAATTGTTGTAACATATAGATGCTTTAATATACTTAGATAACAAAAAATATATTTTCTCTCCGGTTTATTTGTAAAATAAGAAATAACAATTAAAACAACAATAACAACAAATGCAATAGCACAATAGAAATAAAACAATGAAAAATAAAATGTAAACATTTAATATTTTTAGAGAAAATATTTTAAATATAATTGCAATTTATACAGTACAGTTTCATTTGAAATTCATCATTTAAACACAAGTAAATATTTTTTCTGTCAAAGAAACCTTTAACGGTTTCTTTCCAAACATTGTTAATACTCATTCTCAAACAGCATATTCTTAAGTCTAAGCAATTTCATTGGGAAAATAAATAATAATTTTTTATATTGATATGTAAAAACAAATAAAGCATTATCAATAATTTAGTATCCATATATTCACAGAATAAAAAGATACCTAATATAAATAAGTAAAAAATTATGCTGAATTCGTTTTGGCACATATAATAAGCTACTATTCATTACAGATATTTTTGTGGTGTATCTTCAGCTTAAAATAGCTTTCACTGTTCCTTTAACAAACGTTCTACAAATCGGACACTTGCGCATGGCAGGTGAACAGTTGACACAGGTACACATGTGACCACAGGGCAAGAAAACAACGGTGGCGTCTTCCTCCAAACAAATTTTACATCTGGTTTGTTCTTTTAGTCCTTGGTATTCTGAAACAAGTGCCTTCACTTCTGAAAAGATAATTTTGAAAAATTAACAATGACTGATTTTTTAAAGCAATTTTTAACAAAATTTTTGACAAAATGTATGATTTTACTTTATTCATGTACATGTTTTTTCTTAATATATGTTAAAATACCTTGTTTGTTTGATTTGCCAGATTCTTCCTGTTTTTTGGGTTGTTTTTCTTGCTGTATTTTTTCTTCCTTTTCGTCCCCTCCTTTATCTTTAACATGTTCTTTCTTTGAACACTTACGTCTTGCTTTTTTGTGCTTTTCTGATTCCTTGTCCTCTTTATCCATTAATAACTCTAACAATTCTTTTGCAGACAGGTTCACTGCAACGAAAAAAAATCTCTGTAGAAAAAACCACAATTCACTTTCACTGTTTTTTTTTAAAATCGTATTTCAAATTCAAAACTTAAGATGTTTTTTTTTCAGTTTTATGATTTTTTCCATTATACTTTAACCGAGATGGATAATGTCATTTTTTACCTTTGTTCTGTATATTGTCATAAACTGTCTTGATCTGAGCTTTGGTGTATCCCAACTCCATCACACTTTTAAATGCAGCTGTCTCAAATGGATCTTCAGGTTGCTGTTTAGTGAAAATAAGCATATTTACAAGCGAGAAAAATGACGGTAATAAAAATTCTCTTGAAGGAAATATATTGTCTTCACATAAACATTTCCTAAAGTGTTTCTTATTGATTCCAACATATCTGTATCAAGCTTGTATAAATTTTAATCTAAAAACGTGTATTTTCTTTGTCACATACGAAAATTATGCAATATGAATTGTATAATATACATAAACAACATACAATTTAACATCGTTTAATCTTAAAAAAGGCACTCACCGTTAACTCTTCTTTTTGATCTTGTTTATTTTTGAATGAACTGTTGCCCTTGCACTGTTGAACAAATTGACAGTTGGGAAACCAATGCGCATGCTCAATCCAAGGGTCATCTCCTCGTTTCCACTCTGCCAGTTTCCCGCCACAGAAGAAACAGCATACGGTCTCATTTGTTCCTATTAAAAATCACACAAAATTCAGGTTTAATTGAAAAACAAAAAGTAAAAGTTAATCTAATTTCGGTCAGACATAACTATAAAGCATAACCGTTAGAACTAGTAACTCTCATTTGCAGCACTTACTTGTCTAAATTATAAAAGAAAACTCTTTTTTAACTGCATTTCTTCAAACCATCAAAGCTGGAAAAGAATCTTCTCTTCATCTATTTTTGGTTTTTTATCAATTAATTGACAAGTAGTAACATATTTTTTCATAACTGTAGTAAAAAAAAAAACAAGATTCTTACCATTGTAGTAAAAGCCTGCTTTAGAGAGGTCATTGGGACTAACAATGTCTGATATGGGCCAATTCTTGAAAGATGCAATTCTTGTGGCCAAGATGGAATATTTCGGATATTTGGGCTTTTCAACGCAGATTCCAAGGTCCTTGAATACTTCCTTGGCCTTTTTGGGCCGACTTCCACTCGGTACGTGATCAGAAACTGGTTGAGATGAAATTTGCGGCATAGGTGTAGATGCGTGGTTTGAAGTGCTGGTATTGTTTTGATAATTATTCTCGGAAATAACAGATTGATTTTCTGTTTCATAAGATTGCATTTCTTCATTTGTTGGTGTTCGAGTAGGGTTCTCATTTTGAGAAACATTTTCTCTTTCTTGGGCTCTTCTTTGGTAGGAGTTTGATTGATGAATGTCCGATTGCCCACCACAAGCTCCTTCAGCATTTGAAAAACTCTCTGCTCTGGCGTCGCTTGAAGCTAAACGACTAGCGTCATAATGCTTTTGAACGAAATCGCAGTTCGGTGAATTCTTGAAGTGTATTTCCATGGGGTCGTCGTTTGATTGAATATTTTCATAAACATAACCACATTTAAAGCAGATAATGGCTTTTGAAGCATTATCGTAGTAAAATCCAGCTTTAGATAGTTTCATAAAAGCAATTGGACAGTCCTTCAAAGCGCTAAAAGTCGAGAATCTAATGATTTCAAACTTCATCTTCTCGGACACATCCATGTCTGGATTTTTAGCACATTCCTCATAAAATTTCGGAAGTTCAGTGCTAGGGCACTCAATCGTCAAACTCGACTGGTCGCTGTTACACATTTTTGCGGTCCCTGTTTCAGAAATTATACAATCGTTAGGTTTGCTCGTTGACACTATGTTCAAATCGTTATTATTGTTGTTGTTTTTCAGAAGCTGCTTTAAGATATCCATCAATTTTATGTTTAGATGACGATTGTCCTATTCGTATTTTTGTTTCCAATTTTCAGATTTATATCGATCTCTTCAAAAACGAATTGATTAGCACTTAATTCAGTCACTTGAATGTCTTTGTATTCGTAATTTCCCGCTTCACGATTTTCTCGAGAACTAATTGCATGTAAACAAGTATTAAAAAATATATTTACGTTCTGGAATACAGTAAATGGACTGTAGCAGCTCTCTTCTCCATTTGATTACAAAGGAAAAAGTTGGTGCTTTTATATGTTTTCATCTGGAAAGTTCTGGATATGTTTGGAAAAATACCAGATAAACAACTTTAAAAATAGGTCACACACTTCTAAACGTCAGAGTTCACTAGCGCTCGTGTGCATAAATTACGCGCAATTGACATATCAAATGTAAACAACAAAAAGGGAAGAAAAAAACTTAAGCACGCAGTAAATAAATGACTGCATGTTGTCATGCAAAAAAGTTGTATTTTCATTTGAAAACTGATAGAATCTAGAAGGAATAATGATTCCTTTGTAATAAATATTACCCCTTTTGTTTTATTACCTTATCGCGAGGACCAAATTCAGATAAAATATCTTGTGCTTGGCAAATATGTCCCCTAAAGGTAAGAGACCGTGTGCAAAGTATATATCCGCTGTATGTGTATCTGGAAAAAAAGGATCTTTAGTTAGTTCAATTATTATAATCACAATTAATTTTATCAACTGAAAATTATTGTCAGGAAAATGGTGCGATATATTGCATGGCACATGTAAATATATGACTTAATGGCCATAAAATTGTCTATTTAATATCTCATTCTAAATCGAACAACTTCGTATGAACTAGTACAAATAGATAGTGAATACTTTCTGACACACTGCTTTCAAAAATATGAAGCTCTGACTATGATGTAAATTTGCACAATTTTTTTTAAACAATTTACAATTTCATGTTTAATTTAATTTTTAAAAAATCAGCCCTTTCTATAAATTAAAAAAAAAAAATCAAAACAGTCATTTGTCAGGGAAAATTTCATCTTAAATGATAGACAACTTTATTCCTGTATTTTTTATCATTTAAGATGAAATTTCCCTGACAAATGACTGTTTTTATATCTTATATCTAAATTATACATGAATTTGCAAAACATAGATTATGAGAGATTATACAGCTCACCTCAACGAATGTTGTCTGTAAGGCAAAGTCCAACAATTAACTAACATTCTAGAAGTTTAAATCCCAAAATGCAAACTTTATGCAATTTTGATCTGATAGGGCTTACAGTTACTTGGAAATAGAACTATCCAAAAATTCAAACGAGGTGCCCATCAAGAAATGTCATTCAAATCCAGCATCTAAAGCAAGTTTGAGAGTGTTCATCCCTTGATGCATCATTTATGCAAATTTGGTTAATATAGGCCTTATAGTTTCTTGGTGTTAAACTTGCACCCATAACTTTTACCTGCATGGTCCATTATCTGAAAAATGTTTGTGGAATCCAGAATTCGAAGCAAGTCTATCAGTGTGCATCTTTAGAAGTTTCATCCATGCAAGTTGGTCATCATAGGGCTCACAGTTACTTGGAGATGGGACATGAACTAAATAATTAACCTGTTCACTCATCCGGAAAATGAAGGTCAGATCCAGCATCCGAAGCAAGTCTATCAGTGTGCATCCTTAGATGTATCAACCATGCAATTTTGGTCATCATAGGGCTCAAAGCAAGTCTATTAGTTTGCATCCTTAGATGTATTATACATGCTAGTTTGGTCATCATAAGGCTCATAGTTACTTGGAAATGGGACATGAACTAAATAATTAACCTGTTCACTCATCCGGAAAATGAAGGTCAGACCCAGCATCCGAAGCAAGTCTATCAGTGTGCATCCTTAGATGTATCATCCATGCAAGTTTAGTCATTATAGGGCTCATAGTCACTTGCAAATAAGAACTGCACCAAAAACCTTAGACTGTTCACTCATCCGGAAAATGTATGTCAGATCCAGCATCTGAAGCAAGTCTATCAGTGTGCATCCTTAGATGTATCATCCATGCAAGTTTGAACATCATAAGGCTCATAGTTACTTGGAAATGAGAACTGCACCAAAAACATTAGCCTGTTCACTCATCCAGAAAAATGTAGGTCAAATCCTGTCTCCGAAGCAAGTCTATCAGTGTGCATCCTTAGATGCTTCATCCATTCAAGTTTGGTCATCATAGGGCTCATAGTTACCTACAAATAAATACTGCACCAAAAAACTTAGACTGTTCACTCATCCGGAAAATGTAGGACAGATCCAGCATCTGAAGCAAGTCCGGTAGTGTGTATCCTTAGATGTATCAACCATGCTAGTTTGGTCATCATAGGGCTTATAGTTACTTCGAAATAAGACCTGCACCAAAAACTTCACCAAAAATGTTAACCTGCTCTAAAAACATTAACCTGGTCATTCTTTTGCTGAAATTGCAGCATCTGGAACCTCATCTGGTTCAATGAAACACACTAGAAGCATGTTACATGCATGCATAATCAAAATAGGGCATAGAAGTACTTACAAAGAAAACGCTCCAAAAACCTTAACCTGGGACGCCAACGCCGAGCGCATCACATAAGCTCCCCCCAACTTCGTTGAGGTGAGCTAAAAATCACTGATTTGCAAAATGTTGACATAAAACGAGACTGGTTATACTGGTATATTTGCATCAAAGTATTTGTCAATAGCTTGTCTCGTTTTAGAAATCGTTCGTACGTAGAGTTTGCTCTTGCGTATAATCATGCAACTGGAAAAGATTAATTTAACTTCGTATGCAGTGGATAGTGCTATACTATTACATAAATAAGGGAAGTTGACTATAGAAAATTTGAAAGAATCACATTTATCGTAAATTGTTGTTCTTTTGTTCCAACGTTGAAAAACATGTTGCATAAATGTTGAATTAACGACGAACCTTGACCGTTCACAAGAAGTCGAAGGGTCTTAACTGTTTCTGAGCATAATCCAACACTTGAAAGGACCTACAGACGTATAAAATATAACAAAATAATGTGAGAGATGAAGCCGATAAGCAAGATAAATAGGACATTCGGGGACCAACAAGATATTTAGTCTTCTGCTCAGTAACGAATATTAAAGTAAATCCATGCCTTGCCTGACTTTGCCTATTTGTCAATGTTGCCATGCAGACTTAACAAAACAACAGTGCTTAAGCACTTGAGTAATCTCAGCAGCTAAATATTCTACCTCTTAATCTATGAAGAACATTTTGAAAAACGTGTACATATATTCAACTCTACCTGACCATCCTTTGTTTTGTATATGTATTACAAAAAAACCTTGACGTACAATTCTTATTCAGTTGATCTTTCAGTGACATAATATATAGTGAATAATTAATAAATCAATTCGCAATAAATTACAAAAATACAGTCCTGCTTAGCACCAGACTGCTGAACCAAGAAATCGAGAATTCCGAACACCTCGTGAAATACCATAAGGATTGCTCTTTCCACTTTGTTCCCTGTTTGCCCCCTCGAGCAGAAACATTTTTCAAGAATTAACGCATTTTCACTATTGTTTTAACACAGGTCCACCCTAACTCTAGCATCCCTGACTTGGGGCTACGAAGTTAAGAATTATGCAAGAGCATGTTCTACGTACGTACAATTTCTAAAACGAGATAGGTTATTGACAAACAAGTTCATGAAACAAGACTATCAGTAGCCTCGTTTAAAGTCATCATTTTGTAAGTTCTATGGTAGATACAATAATCTTGTCAGCAAATAAAGTATATCATTGAGTCAAATACTGACTGACGTTTTTATACTGAGTGTTAGAGCATTATTACACACTGAATTGTCGACGGATTTTCCCGTTATTTCTCGATCATGACAAGGAGCACACGGCGAGTGTGACCGGTCGGCAGGGGATACTCACTCTTTCATGGCACCTGATCCAACCTCTGATGTTTTGGAGGTCCGTGTTTGCTCTGCTCCTGTTTTGTATTGTTTTATGGAATTTTGAACTTGAACATGTTGAATACTGTTCGTTATCTCCATATATTCTATTAAAAGAGGTCCACTTGCAAATCATATGTATAAGAAATATAGAGAAACGACACTTACATGATTCGTAAAAAGTTTGTTGAAACTGAGGTTCCTTATACATTAACTTAATGTTTCAGTTAGTTTATCTGTTTTAAAAATACCCTGAAGCAGGTAACTTTTCAAAGAAAAATCATATTAATTTATTGTCAATAGAGCCCAACTATAACGCAAAATTCTGCCCCTTTATAACGCAAAATTCTGAGGCAGGGACCATAAAATTCCCATCTCAGGAACATACACCTTTGCCCATCATGACTAGACACTTTGTTTGCTTCATATCCAAAAACAGAGATTTTAAAGAAATACTTAGTGATACATTTTTTAGAACTATATATTCAACAAAACCCCACTAAAGCACAAGAAGCCTAGACCCTGTGGTCATGAATTTCACAATTTTGTTAGAGGAGTTTAATGCGCATTACAATCAGCCCAAGAGAATAAAAAACAAACAAAAACCCAATGTATTTCATTAAAAAATTAAAGGTCTCCCCCATTCCCTAAACCAGGGTCCACAGTTGTCACAATTTTGAAAGAAACATCCTTTTCAAATGTTTAAAGTAAAATGCGAGATTTGAGAAAAATTCTCTGTCCCTGGGTATTTGGCAAACAAAAGTTCATAGTGAAGAAAAACAATCTAGAGTGCCTGATCCAAAACCATAAACATGGTCTTTAGTCAGGGGTTCTGATTTTAATAAGAAGATAACATGGTTAGGAAAAGCATCAAATGAATCCCAAAGCCTTAACTACAGAACCCTGACCGGGGGTCATAAATTTAAGAAGGAAATTTAGTTCATATAGCAATAATTCCATAAGCCCTAAGTTGACCAAACTTGCACTGCTGATACACTGTACATCTAATGATACACACTAAAAAGCTTGTTTCAGATGCTGAAATCCTAAAAAATACTAAAAGCCCAATGTTGACCAAACGTACAATACATGGATACATGTAATACATCTAGAGATGCATAGTACCAAGCTTGCTTCAGATGCAGGATCTGACCTTAATTTTTTTTCCCTTATGTCTGACCAGGTTTAAATTTACGGTGCAACTTCATTCTAAAACAACTTACAAATCCTTTGTTGACCAAACTTGAATAGGTGATACATCTATGGATACCCGCTGTCACACGCTTCGGATGCTGGATCTGACCTATATTTTCTAG